TCGGAAAGAAAAATCTTGAGAGAGACAAATGTGAATAATTTTCGTATATCTTTTGTTCGCCGGGCAAATATCTTTTGGTCCACGGGATGCTGCCTCTGCTAAACTGGCTTTGGATAACTTGCGGGCAACGTATGCCGGGAGTACGTTCGAGCGCTTAACACGTGCGTCTGGCCTCCAAGCGGCGCGAAGGTAATACGTAAGCCGGGAACGGGTCGCAATCGCCCCTGGCAAAGTCGGTTTCATTAATTTCAATGACTCTTTGAGGTCCTGGGCTCCTGGGGGGGTATCCTGCAAGGGATGGTTAGCTTTTGAGGGGTGTAGCTGAATTCTGTACTTGGTATCATCCCTCACGCTATTCCATTTTCGCTTGGCAATGAGATGCAAGGCCCTTGGGCGCGCAGGTTAAGATCCTTTGATATAGGTAGGTGTATGGGTGGGTGCATGGGGGGGTGGATGGATGAATATTTTTTTTTTTTTTTTTTTGTAAAGATTAGAAAAAAATATCGTTTTTCAGGGGCATCAGACAAGGGTGGATGTTATTAACATATTTTTACTAGTATTTGATATTCAACCCCTAGAGGTAATTTCAAATATATCACGTGCCGTGGCACCCCGTCATGTTACGTGTTGCGCAGCTCACGGCCTCTTTACGATTCAATGTGAAGCAACGTGGATGGGCGCTGGGAAAAAGGGTCTGCGGAGAGTCGAAAGTGGGGTCGGTGGGTGGGTCTCTGTCTTCGAGGGTAAAAGTCCCCGTCTACGGGCTTGTTTTTTCTTCTACGCGTATTTCGCAGTAGGAAGAGTCAAATCCACGCGCACCCTTTTTCCTTTTATCGTCGTCCTTACATAGTGTTTCAACTGTATCTAGTTATAAACTTCTTTGAAATTCTGTTTTTTTTTTTTTTTCAAGGTTTATTTTTTCATCCCTCATTCGTTAGGGGTGCAACGATTCTCTGGCGCGTCTCGAAAAAAATGTCGGATCCAAAATTTTTTTTTCCTCGCTACCATCGGACGATATTTACCGACTTCAAATGTTTTCGCAATATTTTGTAGGTTTAAGGTGAATTTTGTCGTCTCAGGCATCACGAGAGCCGGGAGGGAGGTGGGTAATTTTGAAGATGCGAAATTTTTTTTTTTCGAATGCCTCGTAATTTTACGTCAACATTCCGTAGTTATTTTTCGAGTCGGTTAATAGATTTTTTTCTCGCGACGATCTTTTACGGTCCAGTGAGACGAGATGATGAGGACGACGCGAAGAAATTGGGGGGAAGAAATTGCACTGATGGCGAAAGTAGGAGAGGCAAAGGAAGATAGAGATAAAATGGAAAGAATCCGAGACGCTTTGGGTTTAACGTTCGAGTCTCAAATCGTAGCCTCTCGACTTACTGCTCAGGTGAAAACCTTATTAGCCCCTTTATTTTCTCTTTCCCGGCTGACTGCTTGTCTTTTTTTATCCTCGTACAGGAGTTCATCCCTGAGCAGATATACGGAAGAGGTAGAAAATACGAAAGGAACAAAGAAACCTCAATTTTCCAATTTTATCCTCTTGTTCCTTACTTTACGCGGCTGTTAACCTAATGGTAATGGAATGATCAAATTAGTTTTTGGAAAAAAAAAAAAAAAAAAAAAAAATAATAATTTCAACCCTTCAACTATTTCCACGTGCCCATGAAAAATTTTGAAAATACTTTTATACGCATCCCCCAAATAATCTTTGAGTCTCAATAATCGCATCCCGAATTATTAATTAACGCTCAATTGTCTTAAAATTTTCGGCGTAATCGATTGGAATCTGTATTTCCAAAAATATATTTAAAAACTGCAATTTTCACGTACGCACACGAAAATTCGGAAACTCGCCGAAGATCAAACGAATAACCATCGCTCAGCGTCTCTTCGCTTATTGGACCTTTACTTTATATTTTTTTAGACTGGGATACACACGAAGATCAAAAGTCATTCGATCGTATCTCACCCCGGCGCTGCTCTTCGCATTTTACAATTCCATTTTTTCTTCATACTCCCCCAAAATCTTATAATCTTGTCAGACCCAACATTTCACGAAAATATTAAAGAAAAAGGCTCCTCATGATTTTCGTGATTCAATTCCCCAGTAGGGAAAACGTATGAGACACCTCTTTACGCATATATTCAAAGTACACTCCCTCTTTTCCAAGCTCTCTCTCTCTCTCTCTCTCTCTCTCTATATATATATATACATACATACACAAACACACACAACTCCCTTGCAACTTTCATATTTCGTCGTGGCTGGCCATGGACACTTATGTACACATGTAACCAGCTAGTTTCGCAGGACATGTAAACATGTGCTAGCGAAAGCCCTTCTTCTATACCTATACCCCTTTTCGGCCATCTTGAACGTCTCAAAGGAATTTCCTCGATACCAAAATTGACCTATACGTGTACATTACCCAGTAGCCATATATCGATCACGTATCCTGATCGATACAGACAATAACGTTGTAGGAGAAGCGACCCACTTCAGGTATCCCAACGGCATTGTAATTGAACTGGAATCGATAATTCTACGAAACTAAGAGTCACCCCTTACACGTACCACATATACATATATATACGTCCATAATATGAGACTGACGAAACGAATCACGGGATCTATCATTATCGCCGCACGCATACAGTATGTCATTATTATTATTAACCTCATCGGACAAATTTTCCAGTCTGAAACGCTGTGCCCCTAACGTTAATAAACTAATTGGAAATGGCAACAAGCCCACGCGATGCACGAAATGAGTAATTACTAGATTACGAACTTGGCCCGAGTTTACGGCCCTTATTCATACAGGCTCCATTTATATATGCATATGTATATATATGTATGCAAGTATATACTAGTTTCATGCAGTTTTCTCTTCCTCACTGGGTACACAATTCCTTTGAGATTTTCGCATCTCGACACGTGTTACTCGTCGACAGTGACATGAGCTTCCAGGCTTTAGATAATTTTGAAATCATTTTTAAAGAACGAGCAACACGTGCGTAATCCCCCCCCCCCGCACGCCCCGCCCGATCTTTCGCTCAAGAGATTGACGGCTGTCGAGATAAACCCGTGGTTTTTCGTGTTGAGGTAATTAAAAATTTTTTTCTTTTTTCTTCATTTTTTTTTTCTTGTTTAATTATTCCTATACGTCACGAGTACTCGTGTTTGTTTTAGGTGAACGGTTTGATCTTTCTG